AGATGCCTCTTTTAGGTAATTGGTTTCAATATATAAAGCATCACAACTCTCCTCTCATCATTACTTTCAGTTTCTTTTCCTTAGTCCCCATCAAGATTCTTTGTTGTTTCCTTCACACTCACTTTTCCTAAAGTGATTGCAAGGTCGTGTGTACTTCAATCTGCTTGTTCTGTTTTTTGTTCATGTGTTCATTTTGCTTTGCTTTGCTTTATTTATAAAGGTCTTTTCTTTTTTCTACTACTCCATATATTGTTTAGTCTTAATTACATTTTAGTGTTCCATTCCATTAATGTGCCACAATTTATTGAACCATTCCTTTGTATATTTAAGATATGCACACACACACACACACACACACACACACTCATATGTGGGTATGTGTCTGCTATGAAAATCTTTGAACAAATAGCAATAATTTTTATTGTTATTTTCTTATAACTTTTGTCTGAACACTATTTTTGATGGGAAACTCACAACTTCACAACTTCGCAAGCCAACCTAGCTCATTTTTGGACAGTTCAAAATGCTTCTTTTTACTTGTATGGGACAAAAGTCTACCTTCCTGTAAACATGCAGCTGCTGGATTTCCTGTGCATGAAAATTTGTATACACTAGAAATCTGAGGTGGCCAGACCCTTTGTTAGACTTGTGGTGAGTGACATTGAAAAGGTACATCAATTTAAACTGGAGATAAACCTAGCAGGTGGGGAATTCTCATCTAACTGTCCAAAACTTTTAGAGTATGTTTAATATTAGAGTTATGTTACACATCTCCTACACAGATTCCATGACCTGATCATCTTTCCTCCCTTATTTCCTTCCTCCTTCCTCTTCTTCCTTTCCTTCCTTCCTTCCTTCTCTCACTCTCTTTTCTTCATTAGTTTTTTTGTTGCCTTTGGGTTTTTTTTGTAATGCCACAGCCATGTCTTTTTACACTTCCATCCAGCAATTCTAAACAACAACAAAATATTCAAGAAAAATCTGCTAATACACTAGCCATATCTGACAGTATATACCACATTCTCTCTATAAGCACCACCTCTCTAGTGAGAGGGGAAGGTATATTTCTTTATCAATTCTCTGGAGCTGTTATTGACTAAATAATATCACATATCATATCCTACACCAATATGTGTGTATATATAAAGGAAAGTAAACCCTTATAGATGTTGGTGTTTCTTCTAACCCACTCAGAACGATGATAATAATAACAACAAAAAGCATATACTTTGAACATTCTGCCTATGTAGCATTTGGTTTTTTTCTTGGATGTTCAAGTTCCTCCATATCCTGGTCTCTAATTCCTATTAGGAAATTTATCTTCCAGTATTTCTGTACCTGAACTCTTTATTCCAGCCTCAATGGTCTGCTCATTGCCCCCCACCAAAAAAAAAAACACTAAGAATGTTTCTTCCTATAAGGTCTTGTACCCCTGCTCCCCTGGTCAGAAATGTTCTCCTACTTTCCCTCTTTCAGACAACTCACACAAATTGGGCTCTTTTATGGAGGTCAGAAGAAGCAATACAAGGATACTCTTAAGTTCTCTTTGAAGAACTTTGATATCAGTTATGAGACATGGGAGACATTGACACAGAATCGTCCAGCATGGCTTGCCCATTTCAAAGAAGGTGCTATGCTCTACGAATAAAGCAGAATTGTAGTAGCTAAAAAAAAAAAAAACATGAGATGTGCAAATGTAGAGACATCTAGATCCCAAATGTTCATATGGACTATTTGTGTCCATTTTGTGGTAGAGCCTTCTCAGCTCACTTTGGTCTATCAGCCACAGTCGGACACACTGTACATTGACCCCAATGTAGTGATGTCACTTTGATCCTATAAGAAGGACAACAACCAAACTATTTCATGGATTATGAGGGCACTACCAACCTAGCAATTTCTCCTCTACAGAAAAGGTTCCTTAGGAAAATAGTTTAATTTATTGCCTTGAACAGTTTTTTCTCCTCTCTGGCCTTTGCTCTCCTCATCTCTAAAATGATAAGTTAGAGGAAATGATTTCTTGTGTACTCTCTAGCTCTAACACTGTGGTACTATGCTTTTAATGGCCTGAATATGCCAAAAGAGTAATTGAGAAGGTGAAATGAAATCATGTGCTGAAAACTACTTGGTGATTCTGAAGCACTCTAAAAATGCAAGAAATAGTATTAGTATTAATATTAGTGCAATGACAATTATTATTGAATAAACTATTGAGTTGCTATATGAATTTAAAGGGTTCCATTCATTTGCCACCTAACAAAAAGCCTTTCAAATACTTAGAGATGTTAATGGACTGCTTCTTTAATGTGGCCAAGAACATCAGCTAAAAAGTACATATTATCCTTTGAATTACAACAAAGTAAAACAAGATTTCTTTTTCAAAAACCTCCAGTTGTTCACAGGGCCCTCTTTGTTGCCATGAGACCAAGAATGAATCATGTGGTTTCAAAGATGTGTAGGAGGTGGGTTGTTGACTCAGGGGATCACGAAGAGGACAGGAAGAACCCTTTCTTCCTCCAAAAAGTTGGCATAATGCCAACCCAGGTTGAAGAAAGTCCCTGCGGACACCGGATGAGTTGATGTTCAGGAGGATGTGGGTCTCATTCCAGTGGATGGTTGATCTCCAGACAAGATCATGCCTGTATACATTTTGGTTGCGAGGTCCCTGGCTTCATGAGTACAAAATTTTCCCTTTCACAATTCTCAATCCCTGGAGTCAGAACTGGTAGACATTTCATTAGGCATGGCACAGCTTCAGTTTCCTCATCCACAAAATGAATGGCTTAGTGTAGCTGACTAGGGAAGTTACTTCCACTTCTAAATCTATCTGGCTATAAACTTAATCAGAACTAATTCTAACAAGAACAACTTCCCATCTTTAATTAAAAACACTAAAAACAGCAGCAACAGCAACAATGCTACAGTCTCTGTTATCAAGCAGCTATTGAAAACCCATTTTGATGAGGAAAATGAACAATAACCAGACATTTGTATTTAGTTACCCTTTGGAATACTCTCAGATTTCCAAAAATAATGTAAAATATTTCTGGAGAGTTCATTTTGGACTTGTTGAACCCAAAATAGTTCAACATAATTTTAACATGAATCTAACTAAAAACACAGATGTCTTTGACTATTTAATGAGTTAGGAAGAAATATGACATGGAGGGCCCAGGACCCAGAACCTACTTCCCAAAGGCAGCAGATAGCTATTGGGGATGGGTGGGGGTGAGAAAAAAATATAAGCAGAAAGTTGCTTGCTCCATACTATCTTCTCAGTGAGACTTTAAAAAAAATATGTTGTTTTAATTTTCTTTGATAAACCAAAGGTTGTAGAAAAAGAGTTCCATGGTGAGAGGGGAGATTTGGTTCACTAGCAAAAAAAAAGTAAGATGGGGGGAGAGGAGAACAAGCATTTTATAAGTGCCTACAAGATGGCAGGTACTTTGCTAAGTGCTTTACAAATATTCTATTATTTGATCCTCAAAACAACACTGTGAGGTAGGTGTTGATTTTATTTCCATTTCAAAATTGAGGAAATTGGGATAGAGAAAGGCAAAGACCCATAGATTATGTTTAAATATTATCAGAAACAGAGCCATCTTAAATGTTTGGCAAAATTCTTTTCAGAAAGAGGCATTTTTTATTCTTCTAGTATGGTATAGCGAAAAGGCATATGGTATATTATTAGAATGATAAATAAATTTAGAATTCAAAGACCTAGGTTGGAAACCTGGCTCTCCAATTTACTTGCTTTTGTCCTTCCTCTGTTAATAGTTATTGAATAGTAATTGAATAGTAATTGAAACTTTCTACAACACTGAGAGCTTTTGAGGAAGCCATTTTTAAAAATGCTATGTAAATGTGAAGTGACATTAATTAGAAATGTGATTAAGGATATATATTATTTCAACTCCCTGATCAACGGAATTTTATTCTTGGATTCCATAAGCCAGCAAAGACCTTCCTTTATCCTCATCTTATGATAAAGCATTCATAATTCATCATTTGAAGTATTCACATTTTGAATCCCATTTTGTCTTGCCTTATATTCCTATCCACCTGTCCCCACCTCTATCCCCTGATCCATCTCTCTACTAAGGGTTTTCCACAATCAAAATAGAATCTGGACAGACCCCACTTTCCTGATTGGTGACTCTACTTCAGGAGCGACCTCAGGCATATTGATTGCCTCAATCCCCAGATTTCTTTTCCACTTCTTCATCAGCTGCTTTGACTCTAGTAGTCAATTTCTAATTTCCAATTTCTAATTTCCCCTTATGAGTTATCTTCTCCTGGTATAATTTGAGCTCCTTGAGAGTGATGTTTTGTTTGCTTGTTATTTGTATACCCAGAGTTAAGCATAGTGCCTGGCTTAGAATAAGTGCATAATGAATCCACAGTGTCACCTAGGGCACACAATAGATAGAGTATTGGACCTTGAGTCAGAACGACAGGCATGCAAATATTGCCTCAGACATTTATTAGCTGTATGACCTGGACAAATCACTTTATTGCTATCTGCTTCAGTTTCCTCATCTATAAAACAGGGATAATAATAGTACTTACCTCAAAGGACCATCGTGAGGATCAAATAAAATAATAATTATAAAGCACTTAGCACAATGCCTGGCACAAAATAAATATTTGCTTTATAAGAAATTAACTTAATTATAAATGTTATTATTGTTATTGTTATTATTACCTTAAAATGTTATATAAATGTTAACTCTTATTATATAATGCTTCCTTTATTTATCTAGCTATATTTTTCCCATTAGAGAAGGGGGGGACATCATTTCTGTTCCATAGGGCCCTTTAAGCCAATATTGTAGCCCTGGTGACAGCAAAGAAGAAATCAAGTTAAATACCTCCACCTAGTTATTTTTGAACACAAAGGAACAATGAGAGGTGGAGGCGGGAAAAAGGAAGGAATCTTTACATCTTAAAAACTTTTAACACTCTCTCTGCAAGTTCAAAGTTCTGATCTCATTACTTACCTTACTCCTCCAATCTCTCAAAGTGGCTTTGGGCTCCTGAATTCCCAGGCTCTAGCTTAAGGTTCAGTACATTTCCAGTGTCTGTTCCCCTGGGGACGATGAACGTAGCTTGCCCAGCTGTGGATCATAGATTGTATTTTATTTTTAAACACTGTCCGAACTTGTCTGAGAGTTGTCATCTGAACTAGATCTTAAACTAGAGATTAGAAGGTTGCTGGGGAGGGCAAGGTTAGTTCATCTTCACTGCGGATTCTTCGCTTCTTTTCCTGGAACACCCCTCCCCCTGTCTTTTCCTCCTGCTCAAATCTCACTCCAGAACCCTGTCTGATGGCATCCAGCTGTTGATCTCTGGGGTCTCTCTCATCATCTGATATGTCAAATCTCATAGGGCATCCAATTAACCTCTCTCTGTCCATCCTTATTTTAGTCACAGGTCTAAATTTCATTGTCTAAATTTTGAATATCCAGGAAGATACCTATCTTTTCTAGTGCTATTGAGATGGCCCAATCTTTCCTCATCCCTATCATTATACCTAAAATAGTATTGTCAGGGAACTAATTAATGATTTTAGGTCAGAGTATGACTTCATAGGGCAGTATTGACACACAGTTGGGGTATGCCTGTTCAGGACATGGAGTGGACATGTATGTCTATATGTGTAGGTGTATGTATATATGTGTGTGTATATACTCACATACATGCACATGTGTATTATATAGACACAAATAAACATATGTGTACATGTGTGTATGTATGTTTACATACATAGGTGCATATCTGTATACATATATACTTATTTTATAGTCCTAGGTATCTTTATGGAAGAGGGATGATTTAGTAGATTGATTGCTGGCCTCAGAATCAGGAAGACTTGGGTTCATATCCTACTTTTGTTGTATATTGAGTATGAAGTTACATAACCTTTCAATATTCCCAGGAAATTCTCTAAGACTATGAGGAGTTGCCCACCTGCATTAAGGGAGGGAGTTTCCACCCTGGGAGCTCCCTACACAGAGAAATCATATGTTCAGTTAAAGGGAAAAAATAAGCATCTCTACATCCTATGTTCTTATAACTAGAAAGGATTAATCACATTTTATTTCTTATATTTACATTTTAGACCTCCTTGAAATTTTTTTTTTACTATTTTTCATCATTATAGGTGGTTGTGGACATCAGCTGTCTCTTAGTTCTCGTTCTTTTTGGTGTGTCTAAATGACTCCCAAGAATCTATCTGGCATGGTAGATAGAGCATTGTCCCTGAAGTCAGGAGGACCTGAGTTCAAATCCTGCCTCAGACCAAACACTTGACACTTACTAGCTGTGACCCTAGGCAAGTCACTTAACCCCAATTGCCTACAAAAAAAAAATATTTTTTTAAAAATCTATCTGAAAAAAATTTTCAAATGCCTATATAAAGGAAGCTTGGTGTAAGGAAGGAACGCTGTATTGGAAGGCTTTTTTTTTTTATATAGCCTGGATCTTCTTGAAGGGCGACATGGCTACATGTCTTTTGGGAATAAAGTATTCTGAATGAAAATAAATGGATAAGTAGTAAGTCATTTCCACTGGTCATTTTTTCAATTAAAATCTTTAAAAAAAATATGAATCACCTCATCTACTGAATACAGACTACTATGGCAAGTATTTTGAATGATATATTCCTTGCCCTTCATGAGACTTACAGTATAAAGGGAGGGGGAGAAAGATATATAAATAACAATACATAATAAGGCATTAGAGGAATGTGACACATAGTAAAGGACATGTGACCTCTGGGGAAGGTTATTGCCATCAGAAGCATCAGGGTAGGCTTTATGTTGGAGGTGACATTTGAGTTAGAGTATATCCTGTAACATGTTTTCTTGCACGGATTAAGTTTTTGGTTGCTTCCTCTGTGTTTTATATTTGTATTCAGAGCATCCATTTCCATACCCATAGCACCAGGATGACAGAAAAGTTCTCTCTCAAGTACTCTAATTGATTAGTCATCTCATTAATATGGGTATTCCCTGCAATGATGCAAATTGCAAACTATCTGTGACTGCCCATCCTGTGTCCCCTCTGTCCATGCACTACCATAATTTGCCACAAGTGTTCACCCATCATGATCTTGGCCTTCCTTGAATTCCCTCAACATTGTAAGGATACTGATGGAGATCAACTATCCATCTTTTATCTCTTTGGGGTTTTTGTTTGTTTGTTTTTGGTTTTGTCTTTGTTTTTGACTCAAGACCACGGAAGTTACTCCAGAAATATTAGTCATGAAAAAATGTTTGGGATAATTTCTGCCATGGCCTTCTCTATTATCATATGCTATTCTTAAGTTGGGGATGGTAACTCTAATGTGTCAAATACTCTGTTTCCATCTATAAACCTCTTTTTGGGTCTTCAGGATACTCCAGCCCATCTTTTATTTACGTGTCCAGGCTATCTTAAATAATAACGTATTGGAAGTGGGGGGGAAAGGAGTACTGAATCTTGACTCAGTACTAGCTTCAAATTCTAGGACTTCTACATACTTTCTATATAATTTTGAGCAAGTCACTTAACTGCTATGTATTTAAATTTCCTGACTCACAAAATGAAATGGATAAGATGTTCTCTAGTTTTTTGTTGTTGTTGTTATTGTTTTACAACTTAAATCTTACTATCTGTGGAATTTACTATTGGTCTCACATTCCTAACACCTATCAATCAATCAGCAAACATTTAATAATTTGCTACTATATTCCTGGAACGATGCTACTTGTTGGTGATAAAAAATGAAAACGAATTCATTCTTTCCCTTAAGGCACTTAATGTTCTACAAGTGGAAATAAAATGTATATGTCTGTGTATGTGCAAAATCAACTAAATAAACACATTTGGGAGCACCAGATGGTGAGGGGAACAGAGAAGGTGTCATGTAAGAGGTGACATGAGCTGAACTCTGAGGAAAGCTAGGGATTCTGTAGGTATGGGGTACAGTCTGTACAAAGATGCAGAGAGAGGAAATTCAATGCTGCATCAAGAAAAAGCAAAAAGGACAGTTGGTTTGGACTTTAGAAGGTTTGAAGCAAAGCAATGTACAAAAAGCACAGAAAGGTAGATTGTGGTGAGGTAGTGAAGGATCCCACACAGAAGATCATTGCAATTGATCCCCGGGCCACAGGGAACCACTGAACTTTACTGAGTTGTACCACAAAGCTGATTCCGTGGGTCTGACACCAATAAAATCAAGAAGAGATTAGAGTGTCTTCAGCATGTAAGGTCCTGGGATAGATGTGAGAGAGAGACAGAGAGACAGAGACACAGAGAGAGAACAATGTGGTGACGTGCTGAGTGAGCAGTGAACATACTACTGGTATATTTTCAAACATTCCAATTCAATTTTATAAGCAGTTAAAGGACCATCATATACTAAGAACTGTGCTAAGCACTGGGGGAAGGAAGCAAAATGAAAACAAAAGAGACCCTGACCTCAAGAAGTTCATATTCTGCATAGAAGAAGATCATAGAATTTTTGAGCTAACAATGAATCCTGCATCCTTGTCTTCTAGCAATCTAAGTGAGGAGATAATTCATCCTCACTTTCATACATCAAGAAACCCTTCTATTGATGAAGACCTAACTTTTCCCACTGCCCCTAGCACTTCCTGAGTTTCTGTGACCAAGAAATGCCAATACATATTGTCCATCCCTTTGATGATAAGACAAATTCCCAAGGGGAAGGGAGAGGGAATATGCATGTATATAGAATCTACTGTTTGCCTAGAACTGGGCTAAGTTCTTTACAACATTATCTCATTTGATCATCATAACAATTGTATCAGATAAGTGCTATTAATATTCCCATTTGAGAGTTCAGGAAACTGAGACAAATAGAGATTTAGGTGACTTGCCTGGAGTCAATAAATATTTGAGATTGGATTTGAATCCAGATCTTCCTGACTCCAGGTTCAGAACTCTATCCTAGCTACACAAAGATGAAGTAATGTATGTAGTAACATATATTTCTATATCATATTAGAGTTTACAAAGCAGTTTTCCTCACAGTAGTCCCGCGAGGTAGCTAGTATGTGTGTATCATTCCCGTTTTGCAGATGAGAGGCTCATAGGGGTAAAATGTTTTGTCAACATTTTTACAACTAGTAAATTTCAGAGTGGATATTTGAACCTTGGTCTCCCCACCACCACCACCACCCCAACACCTAGGGGTACAGTGGATAGAGTACTGGGTCTGGAATCAGAATCATCTGCCTGAGCTTAAATATGGGTTCAGACACTTACTAGCTGTGTGACCCTGGGAAATTCCCCTAACTTTGCTTCAGTTTCCTCATCTGTAAAATGAGCTGGAGAAAGAAATGGCAAACCACTCCAGCATGCTTGCCAAATGGAGTCAAGAAGAGTTGTACATGACTGAAATACAACTTAACAACAACAACAACCCCTGACTAAAGGTTTAGTGCTGTTGCCACCAACCAGCTTGCATTTCTCTGACTCGTGCCAAAATGGCACAAGGCAACAGTAGACCTCATGGCAAAATAATGATAAAATAGTGTGGGTTCAAAGGCGAGGGAAGTTCCCATGAACCAGAGCAGGTGGACAAAGCCTTATGGAGGAGAAATTTGAGCAAGGCCTTGAAAATAATATTGACTGGCAACAAATACTGCTAGAAAGATGACATCTTACTTCACCAGAGTCCTAAGAAGTAGGTGGGGATTTTATTATTATTCTCATCTTATAGGTAAATAAACTGAAGTTTGAAGGTAAGATGATTTCGCATGTTCATACAAGTAGCAAATGTGATGGTCAGGATTTAAATAATGTTCTGCGTGATGCTTCTCGCTATTCACCATTCTCCTTCTCCACGGGGTAAGAACAAGAAAGAGATGGTAATTCAGGTAAGATGACACTTCCAATAACATAGGCAAGAATAAGAAATAAATGACCTTCCAGGTAAATTAGTGCTTCAGATGCCCTTCCTTCTTGGAGTTAGTGAATAGACTCTCCTCTGTTCCTATATCTATTTCTGCCTCTTTCTTCTCATGCTGTCTCTGTTTCTTCTGTATCTC